CACGAATATAATGTTCTATTTATCACATATATAAAATAAGAATGGTAAACTGTTAACAAGAGTCATTTTTTGTGTCGCCTCTACGGAGTAGTGGCGACATATAGGGATCACTTCTCCGTCGTCTGTCTGTCCGTCTGTCTGTCCGTCCGTCCGTCACAAAACTTGTCCGGACTACTCCTCATAAACTACTGGTGCAATTTCATCCAAACTTTACAGGAATGATCAGTACCAAGTCTAGTTGTGCATATTATCAGCATTTTCCGGTTCAATGATTTTTGTCAGAGTTATGGCCCTTTAATAATTTTTATTTTTAAAGTTTGTCCGGACTACTTCTCTTATACCACTCATGCAATTTCAATGAAACTTTACAGGATTGATCTGTAGCTCAAGTCCTTGCGCATATTGCACGGGTTTTCCGGTTGAATGATTTTTGGCCGAGTTATGGCCCTTTGATAAAAAGGTGTTTTTTTTCTGTGTGTTGCCAGATACGCAAAAGCTTGTCCGGACTATTCCTCATAAACTACTGGTGCAATTTTTTTCCAAACTTTACAGAAATGATCAGTACCAAGTCTAGTTGTGCACTGTCCGTCTGTCTCTCCGTCTGTCACAAAATTTGTCCCAACATGAAATTGGCCATCATGAGGCGACACATGTGATTACTGATCGCTCTTGTTTTGATAGTGTAACGCTAACATTAGCTCGCTTTAACGCTATGTTTATAGCGCAAATTACGGGACGTCAAAGTGTTATAAATATTACACTAGTGTAATATTGACTAGTGTAATATCGTTTTTATTAAATGGCTTTATTACATTCCTGCGCCGCGGTTTATGTGATAGATATTTTTATCACATAAACCCCGGCGCGGGAGTGTTATAAAGCCATTTAATAAAAACGATATTACACTAGTGTAATAACACTCTGACATGACGTCATTTGCGCTATATATAAACATAGCGTTACACTATGGGCGCGTCATTGTTGAATTACTCATTTTAACAGTTCACTGTTCTTATTTTGTATATGTGATAAATAGAATATTATATTTGTGTAGATTCAATTCTAAATTTATTGAACTCGTTGAATAAAACAGTATTATGCGAGCCAGAGGCTTGCATAATATGATTTTATTCAACTCTTTCAATAAATCTATCACCAAAATTATATATTTTTTTTAAATTATACATTTTTTCTCACTAAACATACTACCATATATTATAAGGATGCCCTAGGAAGTAATTTAAGGTACTTTGTGCCTCCCTAGCAGTTCTTTGCGCACCTGAGCTCTCCTTAGCGGTCCAGCAACTCATCGAAAACATAAATTCTATCACCACAATTATATTTTTTCTTAAACTTATACATTTTTTCTCACTAAACATACTACCATATATTATAAGAATGCCCTTGGAAGTAATTTAAGGTCCTTTGTGCCTCCCTTGCAGTTCTTTGCGCACCTGAGCAGTCCTAAACGGTCCAGCAACTCATCGAAAACATAAATTCTATCACCACAATTATATTTTTTCTTAACATTATACATTTTTTCTCACTAAACATACTACCATATATTATAAGAATGCCCTAGGAGATATTTAAATGTCCTTTGTGTCTCCCTAGCAGTCCTTTGTGCCCCTAGGAGGTATTTTAAGATTCTTTGTACCTCCCTAGCAGTCCTTAGCGGTCCTGCAATTCATCGAAAACATAAATTCTATCACCAAAATTATATTTTTCCTTAAAATAATACATTTTTTATCTATTAACTTACTACAATATAATATAAAAATGCCCTAGGAAGTAATTTAAGGTCCTTTGTGCCTCCCTAGCAGTCCTTTCCGCACCTGAGCTCTCCTTAGCAGTCCAGCAACTCATCGAAAACATAAAATCTATCACCAAAATTATATTTTTTCTTAAAATAATACATTTTTTGTCACTAAGCATACTATTATATATTATAAGAATGTTCTAGGAGTGATTTTAAGGTCCTTTGGGCCTCGCTTATAGTCTTTTATGTACTTGTGCATTCCTTAGCGGTCTGGTAACTCATCGAAAACATAAATTCTATCACCAAAATTATATTTTTTCTTAAAATTATACATTTTTTCTCACTAAACATACTACCATATATTATAAGAATGCCCCAGGAGATATTTAAATGTCATTTGTGCCTCCCTAGCAGTCCTTCAATGTGCCCCTAGGAGGTATTTTAAGATTGTTTGTACCTCCCTAGCAGTCCTTAGCGGTCCTCCAATTCATGGAAAACATAAATTCTATCACCAAAATTATATTTTTTCTTAAAATAATACATTTTTTATCTATAAACTTACTACAATATAATATAAAAATGCCCTAGGAAGTAATTTAAGGTCCTTTGTGCCTCCCTAGCAGTTGTTAGTGCACCTGAGCAGTCCTTAGCGGTCCGGCAACTCATTGAGAGCATAAATTCTATCACCAAAATTATATTTTTTTTTAAATTATACATTTTTTCTCACTAAACATGCTACCATATATTATAAGAATGCCCTAGGAGGTATTTAAATGTCTTTTGTGCCTCCCTAGCAGTCCTTTGTGCCCCTAGGAGGTATTTTAAGATTCTTTGTACTTCCCTAGCAGTCCTAAGCAGTCCTGCAACTCATCAAAAACATAAATTCTACCACCAAAATTATATTTTTCTTACGATAATACATTTTTGTCTATTAACTTACTACCATATATTATAAGAATGTTCTAGGAGGGATTTGAAGGTCCTTTGTGCCTCCCTAGCAGTTGTTAGTGCACCTGAGCAGTCCTTAGCGGTCCGACAACTCTTCAAAAACATGAATTTTATCACTATAATGATATTTTTCATGAAAATTATACATTTTTTATCACTAAACATACTACCATGTATTATAAGAATGCCCTTACAGGTATTTTAAGGTCCTTTGTGCCTCCTTAGGAAATATTTTAAGGTCCCTAGCAGTCCTTTTCGCACCTGAGCAGTCCTTAGCGGTCCGGCAACTCATCGAAAGCATAAATTCTATCACCAAAATTATATTTTTTTCTTACAATAATACATTTTTGTCTATTAACTTACTACTATATATTATAAGAATGTTCTAGGAGGGATTTGAAGGTCCTTTGTGCCTCCCTAGCAGTTGTTAGTGCACCTGAGCAGTTCTTAGCGGTCCGACAATTCTTCAAAAACATGAATTTTATCACTAAAATGATATTTTTTCTTAAAATAATACATTTTTTGTCACTAAACATACTACCTTGTATTATAAGAATGCCCTAGGAGGTATTTTAAGGTCCTTTGTGTCTCCCTAGCAGTCTTTTGTGTATCTGAGCAGTCCTTAGCGGTCCGAGAACTCATAAAATTTTCACCAAAATCATATTTTTTCTTAAAATCATAATTTTTTTTCACTAGAAATAATACCATGTAACATAAGAATGGCCTAGGAGGTATTTTAAGGTCCTTTGTGCCTCTTTAGTAGTCCTTTGTGGCTCCTTAGCAGTCCTTAGCAGTCCTTAGCGGTCCTTAGCAGTCCTTAGCAGTGTTTAGTAGGACCGCTGTGACAGGAACAACCACAATGTCGAGTTCTGTAACAATACAAGCTATTTTGCTACTCTTTACACATCATGCATTTAGAAAATTGTTAACATTCTTCATCTACCTTACATACAATCTTAAATAACTTACATTTTAACTCGGACACTCCAATTTGTTAAAATCTTGCAAATGTCCGTTGATGGTCGGCCATTTTGTCAAAAACGAAAGTACAAAACATACATCATACTGTTCTCCTGGTTTCCTACGACTATGTGCGAGGAACAGTAGACAACGGTAACCATCAATTTATTTGTTACTGTTGTCTATTGTTCAGCGAACATAGTCGTAGGGGACCAGAACAGCGAAACAGTACGGTGTATGTTTTGTACTTTCGTTTTCGACAAAATGGCCGACAATCACTGTTGTTTTGCAAAATTTTTACAAATTGGAGTGTCCGAGATTAAATGTAAGTTATTTAAAATTGTATGTAAGGTAGATGAAGAATGTTAACAATTTTCTAAATGCATGATGTGTAAAGAGTAGCAAAATAGCTTTTATTGTTACAGAACTCGACATTGTGGTTGTTCCACAGCGTGTCCTAGTAAAACTCTGTAGCGTTACGGCGACTAGGTGACCTTTTCTGAGTAATGGTATATAGGAAAAAAAAAAAATTCAAATTTTTTTTTTCTTACACTCAACCCAAAATAGTTATTTTGATGGGGTTTTTTTTTCAAATTTTTTTTTCAATTTTTTTTTTTTCAATTAGTTTTTTTAACTTCATTTTTTTTTATATGGGCACCAAGACTGGACGAGCACCTGTGCTATAAAAGTATTCGGAAGTACGATCACTTACAAAAAAAAATTTGAAAAGATTGACGGTGTACATGTACGTATTGTTTGAAATTATCTTTTGTAAATATTGATCCATAAATCAAGTTTTTGGATTGAATTTTTATGACAATAAATGTTATTGTAATTAATACTATTTGTTGTTTAAGTTTATATGACCAATGCTGTTTTAACTATATTTTTTACTAAAAACCATAGGTGTGGTAATATCAGGTTCCATTTTGTCAATACACCGATAAACACTTTCAGAACTAGCAGACGACGGGCTTTTCTTATCAGTAGTATTTCGAGTAAAGATAATGGGTTGCAAATCTCACTGTATAAATCATATGTAAAATGGTCTGACATGTGGTAGATTTAACAGTTAATTTAAATACTTTGGAATCAAAAGATGTGTTGAAGTTTATACTGTGATGAAGCTAGGATTCAAAGCTTTCTACTGGTGTAATACATTTTAAAATCGGACATTTGATCACAACAAACTAAAAACGGCTTATTTTGTATTGTTTTAGCATAAGCGGTATCGATTTTACTCGAAGATAAGGGAAGCAATTCGTGTTTTTCACTCGATATACCTCGGTTATTTACGTAGATCATATTGAAAGTGTTTATGCGTGTATTCCAGGTTGATGAAATTCTTAGAGAAAGAAAGTCTAGAAAAGGGTTGGAGTATTTAGTGAGATGGAAAAATTTTGGCTCATCAGAGGATTCCTGGGAACCAGTGAAAAATCTTTCTGGTGCCAATCAGGCTATTGCAAATTTCTATGCCAAAATAACAGTGAGTCATAATAATTAATGTTGTTATTTACTTCTTTTTTTGTAACGTAAAATATTATGCTAGTGGCATTGGTTCCCTTTAATTTATCTTATATTTTCTTTTCTGAGTTGGACACTGAGCAATATATTAAATCTAAACCTTATCTCAGATCCTGATATTTTATATGCTACAAATGATGTGACTGATATATTTGACATAATTTGGTATAATTGCAGAAGCCAAAGTTGCAAATTGACTTTAAATACACATCGTGATCATAATGGTCTGGTTGAGTAATGTTTTAAAGAGATTATTTAACCCGGATTACAGGGAATTTTCACACTATGATCAGGGGCCAAAATAAGTGAAACTTCAAAAGTAACCAGAATATTATATACGAGTAGGGTCATTCTATTCTAAGTGGCTTGTGCTGCTATGCAATTTCATAATTTTATATCACTGTCTAAAGAAGCCTGCAATAAATTCTGGAGAAGAATAAATGGAGAACACTATAGTTGTTATAATTATTTTAATATGATATATTGCATTCAATTCAGTCACAGAAAAAGACTCCAAAAAAGAAGAGCCGATCCAGATCAAGGTCTAGAAGCAGTTCAAGAAGCAGGACTCGTAAATCTGGCAGCCGTTCTCCTGCTCGTAAATCAGCGACGAAAACTAAAACTACCAGAAAGTCCTCTCCAACCAAGGAGGAGACTAAACAGAGACGATCACCACATCGCCAGGCAGGTTTCAGAAGACAGAAACA